CGGACGCGTCAAAAAGCGATGACAGTAACGAAGTGTTCGAAGCGAGTACCACTTCAGAATCAACCACCAATTCTCCGATAACTGCTCATAACAATACGAATACTCTTAATAATAACAATAATCGCCTTAAACGACAATGACGTCCGCTTATTCGACGTATTCAACGTACGGAATCTGTTTTGTGACTGTTCTATTCAAAATGTTATTATCCTCAGCAGATCACGAATAAAATGGTGGTAATATGCATATATTTATACATAAATAAATATATGTTCCAAAATCACTGTGCAATATGATGTGTTCGATTGTATCAAAAAGTTTCCATCTCTATATACCGTTAATGGATGCGTATACGAATCGCTCACTGAACTGGAAGTTTTCACATCCAAGGAATGAATTCCTTCAAATCAATTTTACGCTTCAAGACTTTACAAGAGTGTATGAACACCGGATAATGCTTACAGCTTTTGATCCACGCGTTATAATTTATGATCTATCATTCACAGGTCCTTCCCAAAGATCATACAAAATCACGTGCAAAACTGAATTGCCCAACCATGTTTTGACATCATGATGCGGAAAGTTTGAAATATTTGCAAATTTGATAACCTTCATTGGCTCCGATGTAATTCAGCCTATTTCTATCCCCTTATAACTATTGCAGTTTATCAGTTTATCAGTGCTGCTAACGGAAACATTTCTGAAGGAATTTATTACGAATGAACTTCATTTTATGAACGATTTCAAAGAAGAAGGAATCTGAACAAAAGGCAATTTGTATTCTGCAATAAATAATATCTCCATAACAAATATGAAGAAACATTAACAACAATCAGCACACAGTGCAAGTATAATAATAATAGTAATCATAGAAAAACAAGAAAATAACGATATCGAAAGCACAGAATGCTTTTAAAAGTTTTACGGACAATGATCATAATCTTGATGATAATAATCATAACAACAAGAATAATCACAAAGCGAATCATTTCAACAAACAAAGATTCTGACAGAACAAAGATGAATTCTTGTTTTCATACCGAGTCTATACCGTCTAAAAAGTGCGAAACGTAATCATTTAATTATTTCGGAATTTATTTCGTTTAATTTTTTTTCATAATTTAATACAAAAGTTCAACGTAATAAATTTGAGAATTTCAAGCACTTTCACGCAATGAAATATGGAGTGAAATGAAGACAAAACGATAGTAAAGTAAAAACACCTTCTAAGTGCCATTAAGCACAATAAGCGACGACGCTATCAGATAACCGGTATGAATGAATGGAGTGGAAGGAGGAATCCAATTAGAGTTTTCGCTCTTTTGCCATTAGTTCTCGGTGTTGACTGGAATTCAGTTATAATCGATCATCAACAAGAGAAGCGTATGATGGCATTTCTAGATGACATTTTGTAAATTGCTGACATAATGATTGGTGATTGCTTTGGGTGTGCCGAACTGCACTATTAGAGCATGAAGATAATGTTGCTGAAGATAATTCAT